AATGCAGGAAGCAGCACTAAAGCCTTCACTGATGGATTAGAGAAAGGGTTGTGGGTGGGGCACCTAGTAGGGCTGGAAAAAGGACTATGCCACATTCCCCACAAAGTGACAGGCATAGCTGGGACCCATGCTACCACACATGGCCACACCTTGACTTGGAGAAAATGAGACAAGTTAAAGGAAAAGTTGGTCAAAGTGAGAACAAACTCAGTCAGGTGACGGAGGGTGATAGTGGATAGAAAGTATACAGACCTATTTTCAAGGAAGATACAGAAAAACTTCACATCACGCTGATGGGAAATGGACACATAGAGGGATCATGAAGAACAAGGGATTCTCCATACCTTCAGAATTCCGTAAGTTCAGGAACTGGCAACATTATGTACATGCTCCATTTTTCTTATTTTCACTCCACTCCCACCAACCACCCCCACTACCAGTGCCATACTGATATCCTGACCTCTCCATTGCAGGAGATGGTTACATGTAACAGGGGGAAGAATGTGAGAAACCTTGAGGAGCTGCCACAATGACTTCCTTTCCAACATGGCAGTGGTGGCCAAATAGATTATGCCACTTGCAGATCCACCTGTGATGCGGTGGTCTGCTGATTGTTGTCTCATCTTCTGTTAGAAGATGAAATCATTCAATATCTCAGTGAAACAGTGGAAGCTCGGCACAGATCATGAAATGTAGGCTTCCTGACATGTAGGCCCAACCCAGTGACCCCATGGCTCTGGATCTCAGTCCTCCAAAGGGATATGTAGGCTCTCGCAGCAGTCCACAAACATGTAATCTAACCAGATTATTAGATTCTATTTGAATGATAACATGGTTTCTCCTGACACTGTAACTCTACCCTTGCCAGCTAACCTGCTCCCTACATCCTTTTTGTTCTTCAGAGTAGCCAGCCATGGCCACCTCCCCATACTGAGGGGGTGCAGTCTGAAGTCAGCCTCCCCCTCCTTTCTCCCCCACAGTGTTGCTCAAAATCATCTGCAGTCCCTCCC